TCTAGAATATTGGAAATCCAAGTAAAAATTAAGGGTGACATAATAATCAAAAAGCCGAGTGCCCTTATTTCCCGACGAAGGATCACATGGCAAAGTTCAAAAGTCATTATGACACAAATAGGCCATAATATCTCGTGTTGTGGACGCAATGTAGAATTTACCTAAAATTTGCAGGCAACAGCGGAGACAGCTAAATATGATTTGTAATCACTTTAGGTTACAGTCTCAGAACTGTCTTAAAACTACTGAGCATGAATTTATGCTGACTCCTGTCTTTGGTATGAGCACGGCCATCTACTACAAAATTTGTGCGGGATTGTGGGATTGTCGTCTGAGTAACTGAGTCTGGTTCGGCTGATGATTTGGTCTGGGAGACTGACAGACAAACAACTAGTAACATCAGTCATTTCCGATGGAAAAGTGTAATCGTATGCAAACTTCCAAATACATCCACTCATTCACAAGAACACATAAACAAATCCATCCTGTCACAAGAGGGACATAATGTTTATGGAAACAGTCCTTATAAAATGAAAAATATTGCAGGAAACGTTTGTCTATAAGTCTTATATGCTTATAGGTTCCTATCTCAATCCAACTATATGTCGACGTGTCCCCCTTTTATGCTCTTCACCCCTTTAAATAGCTAACACACATAAGTCGGGGTATGCAGAATTTCCATTTCATATTCATACTTTAATCAACTACCCATCCAGTCAATCTTAAAAGGGCTCTTGGACTAGAGCAGTAAGACAATGGAATTTTTCATAAACTCATCACTAGCTCACCCTGCAACATGGAATCCCAATGGAACTTTGTCTTTAGACTATGAATATACCGAGAGCAAAAGTCCTTGCAGAGCTCGTTCACTTTGTGCAGCTCCAGCAAATGGATCCGCAGCACCTGGATCGCCTTCAGCATCTGAGTCCAAAAAAAACAATAAAATTTGCCAAGGTGGCATATTTATTTGTTGAATAATCGCTGGATATTTATAAATGTGAAAGGTTCGGGCGAAAGGTGCAAGCGAAAAGGATAAAACTGACAACGTAAACCCGACAGAAAATTTTAAAATTATCTCTTAAATATGAAAACCAAGATAGTGTGGTCCTAGTTGTTGCCAGAGTCTAAGTTCGATCAGCACTAATGACAGCGCTTCTCGCCGGCTAAACTGATGAAACGACTGTAATTCGTTAAATGCTGGAAATTATCATGACTACTATGACAGAGGCTGCGGTACTCAAAACGTTTTTGAGGTCTCTCTAGTACGAAGACCAAGTTTCGCATACGAGGTTTAATCATATTCCTAATAATTTAACTAGTTTGATGCGACGCCTAAGCTTGAAACCCCAGCATAAGATGATAGCTGTATTCCATAAGAAATACGGTCCGATCAAGGAAAATATACATTCTAGGATTATTTGATTTAGATTGAGTTTGATCAGATTAACTAAAATATCCAAATAACTATCGAGCCATGTAGCAATTTAATAAAACAAATAAATTATAAATTGAATTAGACAATAAAATAAATACGACTTACTAAATGTAAATACTTATATTCATGAGTGTTCAGGGAAATTTACTAAAACTGGTCTCATGCTTTGAACAAATGTATTTTGATGGTGAAAAGCTAGACACGAATGAATTGGGGCTGTAGGACGATGCAAAGAGGACTTATTCAAAAATATCCTCAGCTACAACTCTGAGGCAATCTTTCTTCTGTTTCTGGTAAGGCCAAATTACGAATTCCTTCCACCCACCTTTTCAAACGGATTCTATTAGGATACTTTTAGAAACACGATTTCTATCCACATCAATGAATCTTGAAATCTTTTCCGACGTATGAAATACAACTGGATTTCAAAGAATTCCCTATTAAAAGCTTGTAATTGTAACAGCTGGATTCTTAGTAACTTTTATTTGCCAAAATGATAATTTTCCTTAATCAAGATTGGCTGCATCTTGCCTTTGGATATTCGTCTGCTCCACAACTGAAATTACCTCGGAGAGTATATCAGCATTGCCTTTGATTCCATATTTCCAGAATAAAGCTCGTTTAAACCGATAGCATTATGATAGATTTTTTCAAGAGTACCGCCCAACCAGGGGATGCCCAATGTGGACAGGAATATACCGAAGAAGCAGCCAACATTAAGACTAACCAATTCGTCTAAATGATGATTGTTAACGAAGAGTTGCAATTTCTTTCGGCCCAACTGTGTGCCACTTGATCCCGTGACCTCTGACCCATCCGCAAAAGCATCTTCCTCCTCAAACCGGTCCACTGGCTCTTCGGGTTCAACTATGGCCGTCTGCATCGACACGTTGCCTCGATTGCTACAAGTGGTGACCGGCATCGACAGACCTGGGGCTGTCTTTTCCTCATCCAGACAACCCTGCATTATTAGAGTCAATGAATTGGCTGAGCCAGACGCGATTGACTGCCTCGTTTTGTTGGCAGAATTAGCAGTCGGATAGCTGGAAGAAGTTGGGCTGTTGCCAGTGGCGGTGGTGCTGGCAGTGATGGAGCAGATAGACGCTTCAGACGGTATAGATGAGGACTCGCGAATACAACGTCGACGCCCGTCTGCCTGTCCGGCTCCACTGACACCATCGCCACAACCACCTCCGGTGAGGCTGCTGCCATGGCTGCCGGAGTTTTTGGTAGCAGCTGCAGATGCTGCACTCCGACGTCCAGGAGTTGGACGGCCCTCATCAAGACCATTCGAGTTCTGTCGAGAGGACCGAGATAGTCCCGACTTCCTGCCAGGTGGACGGCCGGGCCTTACGTGAACTGATGACCCTTTGCCACCGCTGCTTCCCGTAGTGCCGCCTTTAAGGTCACAAAAAAAGTGATGGAATGTGCGTTTTCACAATGGAGTGTAAAATATGCAATGCATGGAGGAGAGCGGCAAAATGCAGAGTTTTATTCATACTAAATATGTTTCGATGCTATTAGTATATCCTGACCCTAGGTTGTTGAAGTTTTCCCGCAATGCTATTGAATTGCACTTAGCTTTTCCTTCCAAAATGGATATATCATGCAGGATGAACTGATGTTTCTACCTCACCTGGATCTTATCAGCATTCCCAACGGGAATCGAACCCGGGTAGTGTAGTGCTGATTTTTGACATGTTACACTTACGCAACACTGTCATGGCTGCCAGTGATCACAGGGCAGTAGTGACTTTCAAGTCAAGCTAGACCTCTTCCATATCATAGTTTAAACAAAATCACTTATTTACAAATATACTATATTTGTATATATAATATGATTGTTCTAAATCACGTTGAGGCTGTTGCTAGCACCAGGGCGAAGTCGAAACTGCAGTCATCCCTGGGTGAGAATGACTAAATAGAGGAAAACGAAGTGAGATTCAATAGCATTGTGAGGCCTACCCATATCATCTTGGGAAAAACTTTACTATCTGTTCTTAACTCACACTCAGCGACCTAAGGTGACTAAGTTCTTTTAAGGTGTAGGTGTTTATTTGCTAACTTTTTAGGATGTTTTCCATAGAATATTGCAATAAAGACATTGTAGGCAGAGCCTAAATATATAAAAATAAATATTTTTATGATATTATCTGTCATATATAAAAAAATAATAGAAGTATTCTATGAGATCGTTTCTATCAGCGGTCATTTAAGAGAGGCTTCTAGAGATCTATCCACTCTGAAGTTATCCGGTAGTGAGCTCGGTTTTGGGCAGGCCCAAGAATTCTGTTGAGCTCCCTTTCATTTCTAGTGAAAGTATTTGGTGAAGAGATTCGAAAGTTGATCCCATCAGAAACGATGGCGGATTTCTATTGATCAGTTATTAATTGGAACATTCTTGTTAATGCAGTTTCTGATGCAATCTCCTTGATTCCTGTGAAAATGTGCTAAGCTTATTTCTGTCTTATAATGGAAATCATCAGGGTAATAATATTCAAGCTAACGAGTCAAGAAAATTCCTATTCAAATTTTCAACAAGCACAGAGTTGGGACATAGTTGTCAGGGCTTTTTTAAGTAAGGCCTGAGCATTCAATGATAGACTATTCTAGATCCTATGATTTAATAACGGGTAAGGTTGATTTTTCACGAAAAATGCATTGCATTCGGAAGAACATTTGCAATCATGTGAAAAGTAGAATCTTTGTAGAGGAAAAGTAACTTACAAAAGTTTTTAATCCTTCCCTGGCATGGGATTTAATCATTTGCAGGGCAATTGATTATTGAATTCACTATCATTTCATTTGAAATTGTATGCCCTAGAGAATAGAAGGTTTATCCACTCATAAGAAGATAGTGGATCCCTCTTCCCCAGTTTTCATTGGTCTTTACTGTAACTTTATGATTTACTATATTCTTGAGATAATCGCCCTCATTTCCAGTGGAATCGTGCAGGGCATTCTTCCGTTGCCCTACTTAACAGACAATGTAATAGCAGAGTACCATTAGTAAAATTAATTCAAGCTAATGCGACAAGAAGACTTGTCGGCTTATAATCGAAAACCAATTTTTCTTTATACAATTAATTATGGTTAAATCTTTCTTATTTATATTTATATCACTAATAGTACATCCAAGTAATTCGAGCATGTATAGTGCTGCCACACTTATGTAAGATACATAAGTGCTAGCCTTACAGACATTTGTTTTATAAAGTCTTTTTTCTAGTATATTAAGAAGCTAGTATTTTATTTCCAATGAATCACTAAGATAATAGGCGTACAATGTTAAACGACTCTGTTTCAGATTACAAAGTTGCTCGCCAAAAGTAACACTCTGAAAAACCGCATGAAATCTTACGTCAAATAAACCTTAAAACTTGGTTCAGCTCGTAGAAGGAGAGTAATAAGCGAATAGCAACTTGCGTTTTCCTTGTTGCCAGGCCTTCTCGGTTTTGAAATACTGAGCACTATATAACCTTAAGGGATAAATAATGCTTCTCGTTCTAGTCCAAATCGTGTCTTAGGCCTAGCACTAACTTTTCCCCCTTCAAACAAGTAATTCACTATTTGAGATGTATTCCCCCTATTTGGTTGAAGGACTGGTGGTTGCATTTTCCCTACGAGTAGAACTAAAAAATAAGTAACTCACCAATCGGAAGTCGGATATCCACAATTCTGAAGCCAAAAATAGCAAAAATGTCAAATTCAACACAAACACAAATAAAAAAATCTTATGGCAGCAGACCCCAGCCAGTCCTCGAATCATACCTGTGCCTCCGGCTAAGTCCCCCCGTAAACGTTGATAGTCCTCAAGAGCGGTGGCTGAAGGTGTTGGCGAAGCAATTGCGTTAAGCCCTTCCTCGGCGGCCCATGCAGCCGCTTCCCTTCTCTGTATAAAGGCACGCAGATCAGCATAAAATGCATCCGGTGGTGGCGGAGAGTCGGGCTGAGCGGTGGCCAGTTCGCAAAGTTGCAGCAGAGCCGATAAGAGTGGATATAGTGGATGCCTGCTCGAGAAGATTTTTTGCCAGTGAATGTGGCAGTGTGGAAAGAGGAGGATTTGACAAAATATTTAATTCAGATATACCGTTTTTTATGCTCAAATTTAGGATCGCATGTGCAGGGAAAAAGAGTTTACATGAGAAAGAATAACAGTTCTTAAGATTAGCAATAACGATGACTAATCTATGTTTGGTATAGCGCCAAAAACTCATATTTTAGACTTATAAAGCCTTGCATTAAAAGGTCTTGATGAAGAACTTATTTTTTAGCAGAAATAATTGAACAAGTCTCTGCAGCCATCAGTATATTTTCTTACTTGTTTAACATAAAATGTGAAAACGAAATATAAATCTATCCATACAGCCATATTTTAAGTTCAAAATTAATCCCCAGCCAGTCGGTACAAGCATAAAAAGGAAAAGAAGGAAAGAAGGGAAGGAAAAAAGGAAGAAAAAAAGTAAAAGGGAAGAAAGTAAGCAGTTTACTTTAAAAGAATTTTGCCCCTATTCAGAGAAATTAAATCTGATAATTACAAATTTTGGCTGGATTTCGACCTTCATTTTACAAGTTTCTCTCAAGTATGCGGACTCTTACATTGGTCTATGCAAGGAACTTGAGTAGAAATAGGTCTCCTTCTAAGACTTTGGAGAATTCACCTTAGTCTGCGATTAGAGTCATTAACGGCATCATACTTGGCAGAAAAGCTGTCTTTGTCAGGCTCCCTTTTCAGCTTCAGTAGG